GCCTCCATTCCAGAACCTTTCTGCCCCATCGGCCGTCATTTCTGCGTACTATGTGCCCTGCCCATTGCCACTTCAGCTTGCTAATACGGATCTCTTCATTTCTGATTCTGAGATCAGCCTGTTCGTTTGGATTATAAAAATTGTATGCTAATGTTTACAGGTGGAGAAACACCGCGCGGTCGCTTCTCGCGCGCCGGCGGGTCGCGGACGCGGCGGGCGCGGGCCGCGTCCTGCCAAGCACCGCAACAAGCAGCCCAAGGACAAGATGGCGCAGCTCGCGGCTTACTTCGTGTAGCCTTCGGTACCTAACAACTGTTATTAACTTTATGTTTACTTATAAAGCCCGGCCGCCTAGCACGTAGAATTTCGTCCAATGACCCCAAGCTACCCATCCTTATCGCTCACGCGTAATTATATTGCTGTCGCGTTCGCACACTCACTGCGGCTGCCCGTCGCACAGTCTCGACAGCAATATAATTACGCGCGAGCGATAAGGATGGGTAGCTTGGGGTCATTGGACGAAATTCTACGTGCTCGGCGACCGGACTATAGATCGTTTCATCCACGAAAACGCGCCCCACCATTATTCCGCGAATGTTTGAGTGTTATCGGCACACGCTAAATTATCCATGAGTGCACACGCACACTACAATAATGTCGCTCGGATTGCTCGGATCAAACTCCCTGCATCTAGCGCTTCCCTCGACCTAAAATTGGTGATCGATCTATACACACTCGTTTGATGAAGGTACAGCCAGTGTCAAGTTCGTGACACCCAAAGTACTTATTGGCTACTTTGGGTGACACGAACTTGACGCTGACTGCACCTATTCGCAATACGTCATTGTTATGATTGGATTAAGGTCGACGCTAACTGTACTACGCGGCCTCACTAGTATTTGTTCAGTACATCTAGCACGAAAATCGTTTGCGTATTCAAATCGTCGTGGAAAGATTTAGTTTGGAACTTGGAAAGTTCAGTGTAGTTCATCTTTACCTTCTTTATTATTACGTTTACGCGTATACCATTGCTATGGGCGTCGAGTACACCGCGTACGAATGGCGCTAAAATTTCCATTCGGTTCGATCGCCCTTGTGGTTATTCTTCGAGAAATTATATTTTATCCGTTAAAAATTATAACTAAAGCTAGCTCAGGTAAAAATATATTTCCGTTAGCCAATAATTAATTATTATATTCCCTCAGAATATTATTTATGAACTCAATTAATTATAAGTATTACGCAAGTATATCTGAGTATAGTCTTTACTTAGATAATGTCTGTTTCCTACACCAGCATCACTTTATCAAATTCTTTATGGAACTTAAATAAAACAAAATCTTTGAATTAGAACCCAATATTTAGATTTGTGAACTTAAATCAGTTTATAAATCATTATGTAACTTATGAAGTATTAGATCTAGAAATAAATACCTTTGTAAACATATAAAACAATGTAGTATTTTTACTTTTCCATGTTTTAATAATTGTTAACTTTTTAATTAAATACGTGTCAAAAAACTTAGGATACTCTTTATACTACGGAATATTCACATCATGCTCTACTAAATAAAATTAAGTTATAAGAGTAATTATTACTCTTTTGTTAAATAAAGAAGTACATAAACCATTACTGTAGTCTATTAACGAATTATCCAATAGATCTGATTACAGATACCATGAATTTGTTAGTTAAGTTTTAAAGTAAAATTAATGAACTACCATTTCCTAACTTGTAAGCAGCTAACTAGTGTTTGTAACTTTTTATTTATTTCTATTGTAAGTGCAATAAATTGATTCAACTAGATCTAATCTTTCAATTTTTATTTTTATAATTTCGTTACTTTTACCCTAAAACTACATTATTCGTGTAAATTCTCGGTTTTAACATTGAAGTGTGGCTTTTGTGATATAAAATAAACCATTAGCTTTAGATACATGTCTTTGGCATACTTTAGAACCAATATAGAGGTAGGTGTATTAGTTCTTATCCATGGCTGCAAATAAGTCTTATTTACTTTTTATTTGTATGAAAGAACAAGCAAATCAAGTCCTTATGACGTCCTTAAATAATGCCAGAAGATTTATCTCGTTAAATATTGAAATGAAACAATGCATCGAAGTCTTCATTTTATTGTGAAGGTTGTCACCTAGTATAATGTATAGGTACATACGACATAAGCTTACAATATATTACTGTATTTTTCGTTACATTAAATACATCATGTTTGTTCATATTCTCAAGAGGAGCGAATGACAATGACTCGTATAAACTGGGACTTAACTGTCTAGGGTTCGTGTGGGGCCAGGGAAATAGCGAGTGAACAACACAGTATCTTCAAAAACTGAAGAAAAAATATAGACAAAATACAGCCACACAAATTATTGGCATTGGTAGTCTATCCAGCTTGGTAACACTAAAATCTCCATTAATAATAGGTTTATGTACAATACAGTAAATAATAAAACTATTATTCTGTACTCAGCAGTTGTGAAGTGAAAAATAAAGTTTACACTTCACTCGCTATTTTCCTGGCACTTTCAAGTCCGCATGATATGAAGGAATCAGCACGATCACTATAATTATTGATTTTATGTGCAGCGAAGGTAAACCGTTATACAAATCAACACAGAAAATAGCAATTATCTGTTGTGCCATCTAATATTCGCTCAAATATTTTTGAACTTGCAACACTTTTCAATTATTTTTAACATTGGCAAAACTGAATGGTTCGATTTTGAAAATATGTCAAAACTATTTTTAGAAAAAGAATTTGTTGATAAAGCGTCCCTTTTAGAAAAATAGTGCTATAATGACAATAATAATTGTTATCAGTTACTTGTTTGTATTATTTATTGTAAACGATTTGTAGAAGATATTATATTATGTCAATTCCATAAATAAATGGGAAAAGAAAATGAAGACAATTGTGAACCGTTCAATTTATTCAATGTTGAAAAACCGGAGATTTTATTAAATTACAATTATCAAAGTTGTTCTGAAAAGTTATCTCACGGTTAAAAATCGGCCTTAAGATGATGACATCAATACTCATGACATATATTAGTAGCAAAAAAATACTACTACGGAATATCAGGCGGTTTTAAAAATTAATATCACACAGCCCGACGAAATAAGTTCTAATTTAACACAAAAAAAAACATATCCCTTCTGGTGCAGTCGGGTAAAAAGCAAAAATATACCAATGCTAATAAAAAGGTTCGTAATAAACCCACATAAACATTAAATTAGTATTTAAATGTACGTGCTTCACTTATTTCAATATTTGTGGAGTTTAACATTATCAATGTGTTTATTAAAATATCTGTGGAGTTTTACAATTATAGTAGTATTATTCGAAAAAGCTTTTGTTCTATAAAATGTTATACAAATTAATGATTAATATTACTAATGATTAATCAAATCCAAAAATATAGGACTTAGCAAATTAATTAAATAAATTCGGGTCTGTGTCGATTTTTCTATCATATATCACAGATTAAGCCAATATGATCTTCAGCAATATAAAATTTATATAAATATGTACATACACAAGACTTAGGTTTTTGTTAACAATAATACTTTAATATTTTGTTAATAAAATTAACCTGTGAATTAATTTAAAGTACCTATTTATTTATTACTAGAAACTCAAAGCCTATGTTAATAGGGTTTGTATTTAATTTCTTTAACAATAAATTAGTTTTACCATAGATATTAAATGAACGCTTAATTCAGGTGTTTTGGTCACATAGAGAATGAACTACTCTTATTTTCTACCTGATTTTGTCTCGTCTTATAAACCTTCTCCGTGACAGTAACACCGTGCGTTATTATGCCAAAATTATGTAGTAAAAATTACAAAAATAAGAAAATAATATTAATTTATACACTTAAACAGCTTTGATATGCTCCAAAAATTTCACAACTTCGAATAAAATCAATTTAACGCCGCGCGGGCTCAATAATATAAGTCGGAAAGTAAAATTTATAATAATTACCGATATCCCTAAAATTGAACGAGTTACGAATGGAATGTAATTTAATTTAATTTAACGATAAAACATTTTTAACGATGAGGATCAATAAATACCACGACAATCAAATGTATCGTATTTCTTTCAGGAATTAATTTAATTAATCAAAAGTATTAAATTGATTTGACTTTTTCGTTCTGGAGTACCTTGAATATGTAAATAAATTGAGAAATAATATTGACGAACGAAAAACTCGTGTTAAAAAAAAACATCTGTAAACTCTACAATATTAAAATACAGTGCTGTTGTTGCAGATTTGATACATTATTTCGTCAATTGTTTTTTCGTTCACTATTGATGCTCATCATTTCAATTTACAAAATACAAATATATTCTTTATCCCAATACAATAAACTGTAAGGCTTAACATATCTTGTGAAGTGGTTCTCCAGACATAAATGAAGACTTACATACAGATTTAAATTAATATAAGTAAGTAACGGTTGTGCATTTTAAATATTATTTTGTCCTATTCGCTACGTTATTTCCATTATTTTACTAATTGCATACAATCCTAATGACAATGCAAGAACTACCGCTTGAACATTTAATATTTCATTTAATATTCATATGAGATTCATTTATAAAAAATATTAAATGTACAGCTGTGTGTTCAATGTTACTATTCTAATATATTAATTTTAATCTCACTTTTTTGATAACATAATTAATTTCTAATAGCTTTATATACTTATAGCGATTATTTACAATACCGAATATTGTTAACATTTATTTAGGTTGCTGAAAGCAATGCAATGTTGTTGTTTATTGTTCTTCGATATATTTCATGCTCGTTAATGCGACGTGATTTGATACCATTGATGATATTCACTGTAGGACACTATGATATTAAATTAACCTACCTAATTACTTATTATTAACGAATACGTTAATAAAATGAAATTTAAAATTCGTTTATTCCACTTATAATAATAGATATAATATGAAAAAGAATGATTTTTATAATTTTCAAAATGCTAAATAATAATTTTTGAAATGATATTGTATTAAAATTGAATATGTGACATATTTGTAGATAGAATGGGAATAGGGAAATGAGTTTCTTAAGGCGTAGACTTTTAGAAGTACACTTAGAGTAGGCGTGTATACATACATTGAGTATTGAACAAATTGATGTATGTATGTATTTGTACTCTCAAGTATTTTACATTTAGGCAAGGGTACGCTCTTTATGCCACTACGTCGTCTAAAACTCCTAACCTCACTAAATGGTCCGAATTTAGTATAAATAATGCTTTAAATTGGGATAATGAAACGTATCGTGGACCCGTAGGCTTAATTATACGTAACCCATGTGTGAGGCCAGCTCATTTACTTTACCGTAGTCGAAACATAATCTGTGCATGTAGTATTAAGATAAAGGTCTCTTTAAAGAACCATTTATACCATACTCCAAAACCAAATACTTGTCTAAATAGGCATAAATGAACGGTGCACATTAGGGTGATATTTTCATTAACTAATATGCTATAAATACCAACATTTTTTAATAATTTCATAAGTGTTATTGTCTTCGAATAATAATATTATACATTACAATAAAGTCTCTATTTTGATAAAATTTATATTTTATGTAATTTTGTATCTATTCTTTGATCTTGGAAAATGGTATAAATTACTGTAACAGTAATAAGAGTTACAATATTGTATCTGTAGATATACATGAATGGTAGATAGTAAATAAGCTATTAATAGCTTATATTATATTGAGCGACTGAAGTATATAATATACTATATTTACTTTCTTCTATTTAAAGCTCTTAGTTTTCATTTTACACGAGTTCTAGTCCCGCATCGAATACTAACGCCCGTCGTACAGAGTACAGACCGCAGGCCCGAATACTATCCAATCAGGTAAAAATAGTACTGGATAATCAATTTAAATAGTTAAAGTCACCGTTATAATTGTCAGAAAAGATAAATATATTGTACTAAATTTAACTGTTTGAATACTGCATTAGTTCGCACTGCGAAGGGCAATAAAGACTTTAGATTATAATTATAATAGAGATAACAACTAGTAAACAAGTATAGAGTGACTAGAATATATTAAAAAACAAAAGCTTCGCTTTTGGCAATTTCGCGAACTGTCAGTACTACTTACATGTCACATCGGGAATATCCATAACACTCACAGGAGTTCGTTAGAAGGTCACTTGTATGTAATCACTGCACTTACTATAGTGTCTACTACCAAAGATTACTTGTTTATATTATATTCCACTATTTCATAAGAATTAAATTCACCAACATTTGAACATTCACAGGCCGTAACACACCAACTCAATCCTAAAATCGCAATAAAGAAAGTACAATCGACAAGAACCTAAATGGTCCACACTTGAACTTTTTCTGCTATAACACACCAACTGGCCTGGTCGTAGTACGAGGACACCACATGGAGACTCTCCACGTATTTTTCGATTAGTTGATCGAGTTCGCCTCTCTTGAAGACGTGGTAATATCTGTGGTAGGTGACAGCGCCGCCTTCTGATGGCAGGCTGTCGGATCCGTCGCTCAGAGATGGCAGGAGGGGAGCGTGAGGTCCCGGACGAGTAGGAACTGGAGCAGTAGCTGTATCTTCTGAAGAAGAGCGTGTTTCCAGCAGCTTCCTCTCTTTGGAGCATTCGCTACACGATGGCAGTGATGCCAAACTAGCGCAGCCCAAAGATGCAGTACTGCCGGTCTTGTCTCGCCTGCTCCAGTCGCTACCAGCCGACGTATCGCTTGATTCAATTGAAAACCCTGACTTCAGAGGCGCTGTACTGGCACTGGATCGCGAAGTTATCGACTCTGGACTGATCTCCATTTTATCTAGATCGCTCGAATCGGTGGACTGCCCGACTTTCAGTGAAGACCTTTTGTCAGTGCTAGTGCACAGCGAATCAATGCTGATTTCAGATTCTAATGAGTAACCAGTTTCAAGCGACTGACTCGTGTCGTACGTCCCAGAGTCTATTGTGATCTCGGGATTTCCATTACTGGAACAAATAGCGCTGTCATCGTCAGGATTCTTGGTTTCAACTTCCGCTGGCTTTTCTTCAGAGACGACTGGTTTAACGTTGTATTGTATATTGGCACAATTATTTAGATAAATGTCTTCGTCGCTTGTTACTTTCATAGTTTTCTTGAGTTCTCTGTATTTGTTAATGATTGGATCAACATCTTTCGATCTCTTTTTGCTTTTAGTTTTAGAGCCGCATTTAGGAAACAATTTGTTTATATCAGTCTCTTGTGTGTCGTTCATGGATGCTATGTACTTATTTCGTTCCTGGAGTTCAGCACTTAATTTATTCAAGCCTTGCATTTCTGTGCTGAGTTTATTTATATAGGGATCTTCTAGGTGTTGTAAACTGTCTGACAATTCGTCTAAAATTTTCTGGGTGTTTCGATCTTCTTCTTCACGTTTAAGTCTCAGCGATATACTTTTTTCGCTACTGCTGCTGCTAGGGAGGTCGAAATCTTCTTCATTTATCCGTTTAGAATACTGATCAATTTCCTGTAGTAGTTTTTCACTTAGTTTTTCAGCAAACTCAGTTAAATGTTGACTTCGATCTTGTTGATCAGCTACCCATTCCTCTTCTTTTGCTATCATATCAGATTTACACGTTACCAAGGGTTCATTTTGTATTCTATTAAAGCTTTCTGATTTAGAAATCGATTTTTCAGAATCGGTACTTGATATTGAAACTGAATCGTATGGGAAACGAGTGGGGCTCCTATGACTTCTGCTCAAATTTTCGTCCAATGACCGTCCCTCCGGCCTATTAGGAGATAATCGATTCAGGCTCCAAGTTGAATTACTCGTACTCCCTTGTTTTGGAGACCGATCTTTGGATCGTCTTCCAGGTGACAGACGTTCCAGACTGGAAGAACTTCCACTAGAACTTGTATGAGATCTCGACTTATCTTCTAATATCCTCAAATCTCCAGGAGATAGTTTGTTTAAGCTCCAATTGCTACTGCTACTGCTGCTTGAAGTTCCTTGGATGATGGCTATTGCGTCAGCGCTTTCTAACTTCTCTAGATGTTTCCGTTTTGATCTTGGGCTAGATTGTATCACTGTTTCACAGGTTTCATCCAAGGAATGTGCTACTTCTGCTACAGCCTCAATAAGGCTATGAGGTGCTTGAGGTGCGGGTGCCGTAGAAGGGGACTTATCTGAAGGTGTTTCTTCAATCTTTGGTTCTGTTGTGAGTTTGTTGGGGTTTGGTAGATCTGCAAAGAAATAAAAATGTATAATTAGCCACTGATACCTACATATTTAATTGAGTCTTTAACTTAGAAATGTTATGCATTATTTGTTACCTTTTTCTTGTGCAGTTTTTCTGAGTTCATCTGGTACAACGCTGATGACACTGTCAACGGAGTCTGGGGAAGAGACGCCACTTGAATCGCTGTCCATATCATCTGTAGCTGGATTGAACAGTTCCAAAGCCATTAGTGTTGGTCTTGTTTTTACTACATGCTCGGATTTGCCAGTGCGAACGATTGGGAATGGAGGTCGTCTTCCAAAGCTCCCCGCAGGGATACCTTTATTTAGAATATCTTTTATCTGTTTTATCCGCTCTTTGCGTTTACGTTCTGCAGATCTAGAATCCAATGTATCCGATGAAGATTTGTTGGTTTCCTTGGGTTTAAATTGTGGAATTTCTGGCAACTCAGCCACTGTTTGCAGTGTAATTTTTGGGTACGGTTTCACATCTTGAAGTACAACTCTTGGTTTCATTTGATTTGTCTCCTCTGTAAGTTTGTGAATTTCTTCTATGTCTTTGTTGATTTCGGCAATAAGCTCTTTCGTTACCTCTGTTGGTGTTTCCTCTTCCTCCTTAATGGGCGGTATAGGATCTATTTCTTCAAAGACTTCTACAGACACGTTGCTGTTTATGAGTTGCTGAAGTTCTGGCTTAATTACTTTGTCGTCTGACTCTGATTTTGGTGGAGAGTTAGGTTGGCTTTTTGACTGTGGTTTTAATGGTACAGCACAAATAGAACTGGATGAAGAATAGTTTTTTAAGCTGTATTGTGCGACTAATATCTTGTTTACAGTAGGTGGTTGGACGGCACTCGGTGACGCCGGTGGACGAATTAGAGGAAAAGCCTGCTTTATCCTTGGCGAAGGAAGGCCTGGTGAGCTCTTCATTCGAGGGGAGGTTGGAACAGACGACACTTTTAATCTAGGCGAGGTGGGGCCGGGTGAAAGAGGAGTAGGCGATAGTGGGTCGCCTGAGCCGTCTGCTTTAGGGACGTATATCACAGATGCGAAACTGTCTTCCGAGTCAACGCTAGTATCACTCTGCAAACTGCTATCCTTTGAGGAATCAGATCCATCTTCTCTAGAATGGCGTCTCTCAGGCACAGCTTTTTCAGTTGCTGGATTATTGTCACTCGGCGTAGGAACTTCTGGCACCGGCCCGTGATTCTTCCACCCTTGAAGCATTCTTACGAACACCGTTACTTTATCTATATTCGTTGTAGATGTTTTGAACTTACTAGTGAGGCCGTTTTTGAGGGACTGGAATTTCTTAGCGGTGGTTGCTGATGTAGAAAATATTGAGTCACGTATTGAATCTAAAGCGCCCGGTCGCCGATAGAGATACTCCTCGTTGAGAGACGCCTGTTTTTGGATATTTTTTCTCAAATGTTCCTTCTCACGTAATCGTTCCACTGACATTAACTCTTCATTGAGTGACGTCTGCTTGAAAACTCCAGGTTTTTTGGGCTCTAATCTATACGTATGTATTTTAAAATTAGGCATTTCTTCTACCATACTTTTCATATCTGTGGGTTTGTCTAAGTCCTCCTCGGCATCGTCTTCGTTTATGGATTTCTTTTGTTTTACGAGACGTGGTTTCTTTCGAGGTTCGGGGATTTCGGGCGCTGGTTTTTCAATGGGAGGTGGTTCGTTTTCGTCGCCTCCTAGGCTAGGTAAACTGGACCTTGAGCGGACGAGAGTGCGCCTTTCGACGTCGGCGATATCAGTTAAACTTCTGGATTTCATTGTGGAACTTTCAGAGTTTTGTGTGATCAATCTTGGGGGTAAAGCTTCATCCAAACGCCGGAGTTCGATGGGTAGATCTGCAGCCGGTGGTTCTAGCCCCGTGCAAGGTCGTGGTGGGACTCTGGCTAGACCCCAGGAAGGCAAAAACGAACGACGACCAGCGAGCTTTTGAAGTGCCCTCCGTACGAATGAATAGCAGGTTTCGTTGGGTGACGAAAGTGAGGATGACCCTGGAGATCCGTCTCGGGATTTCCAAGACTCTATGTTCCTGCAAAATAAAAAGAATCATTTTAATACTCATTAGAATTAATCAGTAGCATTATTAAGAGGTATTTATTATTATTAATTATTTATGCTGTGACAGAACTTACTGATCATGATCGACAGACAGGAATCTAGGCGTCGGTGTCGGCGGGCACAACGTAGCTGGCCTATGCCAAGGAATCAGCACGTCCTGAAATCAAAAAGCATGTATGAATAACATGCTCCAAGACCAATTTAGAGCTGTGAGAGCCACATAAATGTCTAATAAAGGACTTTATGTAGTCTTCTTCTTCTTCTCAGTCAGTAAACTCTTGTCAGAGTGGTCGTGGTCATCATAGTGAATCACGATTCAGAGTGATGTTCCTCGTAATATGGCGCCATTACTCGCGGACTGCAGCTTTCCGGGCACTTTCGCTAACCGAACACTTATGTAGTCTACTTCGTGATTATTACCTGAGAATGGAAGTTCCGTCCTTCGTGCTCCATAGCCCACACAGTGAGGAGGAGTCTTCCCCCGATCCTGGTGACCCTGGCCAGCTCCCTGAGTGCCATGGCCCTCCGCTCCACCGTCGCGAAGTGGTGCACCACTGCGATGGACAGCACTGCGTCGAATGACTCATCGCGGAAGGGTAGGCAGAGGTTGTCGCATACTACCACCTGGAAATGTTTGGGTGTTAGTGGCACTTGTGTATAGGGATATATCATGATGAGTAAAAGTGTACTTCAGTTAAAAGGAGTTTCAAACATTATCGGTACCCTCCAGCCAAGATATGCTTGTGTAGGGGTGTGTTCACCTCAGCCCACAAGGAACAAACTATGGAGATCGAATCACCTTACTCTCAAAATTCTTGAATTGACAGTTTTAACTGTGCTTTTTTTATTATTTTTTTATCCACTACGAGGTAGCTCTTTGGCCTGTCTCGCACCTGATGGTACTTAAGTGATGAATGAATATACCTTGGACGAATAGACCCTCGATTTAATGGCCCTCAAGTTAAGTATAAATGGAATGTTTGGTTCATAACCATCTCTTTATGTAATCCAGAGAAGAAGCAATAAACTAATATTTTCTGAGAAATAAGGCCTTCATCGTCAGGACCAATCGAGACCGCGACATTTTACTATCAACTCGTTAATATTGCGTTAGTCTGTTTGTAAACACCATCTATTTATGTTCAAGTGCATTGTTGTTTTGTTTACCTCATTGCTGTGATGGCGAGCGTGCGATGCGAGGCGCGTGCACCGGTCGCCTCCCACTGAGTACACGGCCGGATTCACGCTCAAGTACTTGCCGTTGCCACAGCCTGTAAATAAATAAACAGCTGATAATTTAATCCGCCATGTTTAGTTGTTAGCACGTCGGGAGATGACGGGCGAGTCGGTTATTTGAAAAGGTTAACTGGGGTTTTCAGAATAGCATTTTTGCTGGGTTTACAGCACGTTAAGAGGATTTTAATGGTTTGCTTGGCGAATCTTGATTACGTGCAAATATATATAAATAAAAATGAATTGATGTTCGTTAGTCTGATAAAAACTCGAGAACGGCTGGGCCGATTGAGCTTATTTTGGTTTTAAAATCTTTGTCGTAGTCCAGGGTAGGTCTAAACGGTGAGCAAGTACGCGCGCGATATTGTTTTTCTGTGACAGACAAAATTCCACGCGGGCGAAGCCGCGGGCGGAAAGCTAGTTATAAATAAATATATTTGCGAAAATTGCCCATAGAGTTGGTACTTTTATACTCATCTACCTACGTCCGTATGCATTGCTAATTACCTAAAATCATCTGTTCCATACAGATGATCGTGATTAGTCGAATTGAGAACCCTACTTTTTAGTAGTCAAAAGTTTAAGGTACGGTGAGTTAAAAAAAAATCCGTTCAGATGCTGTATTAGGCATTGATATCTGGAATTCTAAGTATAGTAATTATCGGGTCTAGATTCTAGGTAGTAATTATAATGATTCAGTTTTCCAGTAACATTGCCTCGGAATGGCAATGGCACAGCATTACGATGTTTCAGCGAAAAGGGTGACTTCGAAATGTCACACGCTATCGCAATAAATGACGCTTCGCTAAATAGCTCTATTCAATATTATTTTCATTCTGACTCAGGACTATCGTCATTTAATTTTAATCACTTAATTTATATACCTAATTGTAACTCCACAAGCCATGCCCATGGGTAGATTTTGATTCTTGCAAAACACAATGTTTCTTACTGTGAGTGATAGTGTGTGTTTATTGTCGGAATGCCAAGTCTGTTGGATTATCTATGTATAGTAGGTAGGTATTGTATGTATGGATGACAGCTATTAGTAAAAAATCGTTTCTCCTCGTTATAACCCTGAAAGAAAACTTCCGGTGGAATCGTTCGTGTTCATGTACTTACTAAAATGTTTGTTTAAAAGGAAAGGATTCCAAGAATTCGAGGTAACCAATAGGGAAGTGGCACAAATAGGTGAATAACAGAACACACCATACAATAGTACCTCTCTGTACACATCCTTAACCTATGACATTTTGACAATACCTAACCACCCACATTAACAAGTTTGTAGAAACCAAGCAAAATAACGTGTTATTCGAAGCCTTTATCAAACGGTGTAAAGGTTAGTGATCTTTCTATGGAAGTCCAAATGGACTAGTTTGACCCGCAACTTCATCCATGTAAAACGGTGACGCTATCATCATCAATATGAGGATGAGCTTTCCTCGTTTCGAACCATTGTTTCGTTTCTCCTCAAAGAATTATATGGTGTGATAGGTGACATAGTTAGGCAATTTTTCCTTTTTGCAATTTAAATAGTAGTAAGTTCATCCCAGATAGGAGATACTATAATCAACACGGATGACTCCAAGAAAATTGTTCCATAAGGAATTGGGGCCTGTAACTGCAATTATGAACGCAAACCATCAGGGCGTTATTTTTTGCACAATCTGTTTTGCAACAGAATAGGTACAGCATTACCATACAATACTGCAAATTCCGTCCAATGCAGAATGGACTTGCAACGCGTCCAATCGCGTTTCATGCCTGATGAATTTCATTTTGTAAAGCCCTTTCACGTTCGGAAGATACGCCTAATGACGTTTGACGGCCCGATGACGCAGAAGGGGTGATTCGATTCCGGAGCCAAGTCCGCTTAGTTTACAATCTACTGTACATATAATTTGAGTTATTCAATCGTCATTTTATTCATGGACAGGATGGGCTATAGCTAATCTCTGCGAAGGCTGGACTTCGTTGATAATAATTTAATTGAAAATAGTGTAGGTATAATCGTTCTGTTGTTGCTGTTCTGTAAATCTGATGTTAAAGTGATAAAAACCCACTGAATTCGAACGTAAATAGATTTTAAAAAGCTCCTGTGACTTTTCATGTGGAAAATTTGGTATGGGTAACCTTCTTTACAGAAAATAATAATTATTATCATACAATTCAAATCGAAATCTTCTATGCAACTTTTGACTCTGATGCATGATTATACCAAACCTTCCTTCGGCGATTCCTAGATTAATAACCGTAAATTTGTGTTTTAAGTTGTTAAGATTAAGAAAAAAGTAAAGTAGATAGTATTAGCTTCTTTCTGACTTTAATATTATGATAAAGAAGAGCAATACACCCACGCGTGACATTTACTATCTCCATTTGTAACATAATTAATTAATGAGAACTTGTTATCCACTAAACACGTTGTTTGCTTTCGTGTGGGTAGATTGAGATCTTAAAAAGGCTCTCGGAGTTCACAAGTTCAAAGGGCTTCTGTGTAAATGTTACAATAACATCAGACCTCAATATAAATATAGCTTCTGTAGGCGGGATTTTTAAATGCTCTATTTTTTTAGTTCTTTATTTAATTTTGATTAACTTTTTAGTAATTCTGAACATACCAACTGTTAGCTACTATGTCTTGTACATTATTTTAAAGAATCTGAAGTAACTATAGTTGAAATTTTGTAAGCTTAGTTTTGAGCGCTTGTTTCGTAAAATTCATAACGTGTATTTTATTTTCTATTTGAAAATAAACCTTATTCCAACTGTTATGAACAGAATTGATTTAAAAAGGCGATAACGTTAGAGCATTGCAAAATGTAGGTACATACAGACGACGGCATGTCCACGTAACACTGGCATCTATGTAGTTATAACAGGGGCGATTTTTCAACAAAAATCTAGTCAAATGTACTGACTGTACGTCATTATACCGACATGGTCATGTTTCATAGCATAGTATTGAATACATCGTTTCTCAGAGGCACTTACTGAGGAAAATTATACGTCGCAGGCAACTTAAATTTATTATAGAGTCTATTAGAGACCTTAGAAGGACGGAGTGTGGAGCAAATTGAATTCATTAAGCAACCCGCTACTTAGAAGTAGGAGCGATGCAGTTCATATTGCTTGGAATCACTTTATTTTTAGAGTACCTATAGACTATCTACTACTAGCGGCGACCCGCGACTTCGTGCGCGTGGACCCCGTTTGTAACCCGTTAGGGGTTGAATTTTGCAAAATCCCGTCTTAGTAAGCACCTAAGTTCTAAAAGGAACCCCTATGCAAAATTTGAGACTCCTAGCACTTGTAAGCTTCTGAGATTTCGTGATGAGTAAGTGAGCCCTTGATGACCTTTCTGTATAAAAACAGATAGATTAGGTAGAAGTGTACTGAGTGTGGCGTTGGGATTTATAGTGCTTTTGAAAAGCGTATAAAGCGCTGATAGAGCTTTGGCTGCTTAACAGCAAGCTCTCTCAAGCCGACTGGGGATAACTGATTGAAATCACTCGCACAATATTTGGTGTTGCTTTTAAAGCAGTCTTCGTCTTCGTCTATTTCTACGTATACTTTACTTGATTAATTTAGGTTTCTATGAAAAGATATTTTTCGTTTTTCGTCCGAATGAACCAAAAGATCCCAAGGAGTTCCACAAAGACTGGTCCTGCGCATGCAGACGCTTTCCACAAGCTTCACCGGATCACCGTCTTCGTCAGTAACCTCTTTAGGATCATCATCATCTCAGCCATAGGACGTCCACTGCTGAACATAGGCCTCCCCCAATGCTTTCCATGTTGTCCGGTTGGCAGCGGCCTACGTCCAGCGCCTTCCTGCTACCTTTATCAGGTCGTCGGTACACCTTGTGGGTGGACGTCCCGCTCTTTAGGATACAAAACTAAGCATGTCCCGGCGCAGGCGCACGTATCGCCTCGTCGCCATCTTCGCCCGCTTGCTCGTACACGTCATGCACGTAAGATCGCTCGAGCGCCGCGGTTGATAGCGGCCTGAGTCCAGCGCCTTTCTGCTACCTTTATCAGATCGTCGGTCCACCTTGTGGGTGGACGTCCCGCTCTTTAGGATACAAACTGGGAATATCTTGTTAATACTGACCGACATCACACACAAGGCTGCCCGGCTCGAGCTCAGACAGGAAGGTCCGCACGCCCGGCGCCGGCGCACGTATCGCCTCGTCGCCATCTTCGCCCGCTTGCTCGTACACGTCATGCACGTAAGCCCGCTCGAGAGCCGCGGTTGGTAGCGGCCTGCGTCCAGCGCCTTTCTTCTACCTTAATGATGTCGTCGGTCCACCTTGTGGACGTTCCACGCTCTGTAGGATACAAACTGGGAATATCTTGTTAATACTGACCGACATCACACACCAGGCTGCCCGGCTCGAGCTCAGACAGGAAGGTCCGCACGCCCGGCGCCGGCGCACGTATCGCCTCGTCGCCATCTTCGCCCGCTTGCTCGTACACGTCATGCACGTAAGCTCGCTCGAGAGCCGCGGTTGATAGCGACCTGAGTCCTGTGCCTTCCTGCTACCTTTATCAGATCGTTGGTCCACCTTGTGGGTGGACGTCCCACGCTCTGTAGGATACAAACTGGAAATATCTTAATACTGACCGACATCACACACAAGGCTGCCCGGCTCCTGCTCAGACAGGAAGGTCCGCACGCCCGGCGCCGGCGCACGTATCGCCTCGTCGCCATCTTCGCCCGCTTGCTCGTATACGTCATGCACGTACGCCTGCTCGAGAGCCGCGGTTGATAGCGGCCTGAGTCCAGCGCCTTCCTGCTACCTTTATCAGGTCGTCGGTCCACCTTATGAGTGGACGTCCCGCTCTTTAGGATACAAAACTGGAAATATTTATCTTGTTAATACTGACCGACATCACACAGAAGGCTGCCCGGCTCGAGCTCAGACAAGAAGGTCCGCACGCCCGGCGCCGGCGCACGTATCGCCTCGTCGCCATCTTCGCCCGCTTGCTCGTACACTACACGTCATGCACGTAAGCCCGCTCGAGCGCCGCGGTTGGTAGCGGCCTGCGTCCAGCGCCTTCCTGCTACCTTAATGATATCGTCGGTCCACCTTGTGGGTGGACGACCCGCTCTTTAGGATACAAAACTGGTAATATCTTAATACTGACCGACGTCACACACCAGGCTGCCCGGCTCGAGCTCGGACAGGAAGGTCCGCACGCCCGGCGCCGGCGCACGTATCGCCTCGTCGCCATCTTCGCCCGCTTGCTCGTACACGTCATGCACGTAAGCCCGCTCGAGCGCCGCGCCGCGAGCCGCCGACTCGCCCGCGCCCGCGCCCGCTCCCGCCTCCGCGTCCGCCGCGCCCGACCCGCCATCCGCCATCACCGCACCGCCATTGCACCGCGCTGGGGAAGAAGAAATAATGATTAAATTACATGAAAGTAAGGCAAGTTAAGGTATACAGTATACCATAAGAAAGATTTGTGCAATAAAAGTATCATACTTTTATTGCACAAATCATAGCGTACAAGGTTGAACTTAAGTTCATTAATGCTAAAAATATTATCCGTCTGTCAACCAATTTTAATTTTAATATACATAAAAATCAATTGTCAAAAGACAATTGTTATTTTAGTTTTTAAATAAAGTCTAGGCTAGATTATAGGTTAGAATCTTAGAATCATACAGAGATTTTAATCGCTCTCATCTCCGCATTTTAAATTCATTTTCTAATTATTAGATTTATTCAAATAATTTAGACATGGATAGTTCGGTGTTAATGTTTTTTGGATTTATGTGTTTTGCTTACGATTTCTGTGTCCGTCATCATCTCATCTAGGAATTGCGTACACTAATATCGATAACAGGTTTCGTAATCCAGTAATAAATATTAAGACAGTTAAATAGTTAACATATTCTTAATTAGTTCAACAAAACGCCCATACAACTTTGAGAGAGCAACTACTTTGGTTACTAAAGAGCAATTAAAGTGTCGCTAGTTGAACCCCGCATCTCCTGCATTTATTAATTAATATAATAATGCCAAAGGTTATCTTAAAGGTTGACTTATTAGGTAACTTGCTACTAAACGTATGTAGGTACTACTTCTCCATACATTCTCAGTGATAATAAGTACTTTGTAGCAAAACGGGACTATTCCCACCTCTCTTTCCCACTGCTGCAACTCCTGTGTAGCCAGGATGTACAGCCAATAAAAACCCAACCAGTGAAGGTCAAGTTTGTCCCGGGGGAAAGTTAAACTGGAGTTCGAAGTTAAGGGTTCGACTTCACGTGACTTCACTCCGCTGCAAAGCGGATGATAGGTGACAAACAAAGGTTTAGTAACCTTTATTAAAATACTAGCTTTCCGCCCGCGGCTTCGCCCGCGTGGAATTTAGTTTGTCACAGAAAAACTTTATCGCGCGCGTCCCTGTTTCAAAAATCGGGATAAAAACTATCCTATGTTCTTTCCCGGGACTCAAACTATCTCTATGCCAAATTTCATCAAAATCGGTTGCGAGGTTTAAGCGGGAAAGCGTAACAGACAGACAGACAGACAGACAGACAGACAGACAGACAGACAGACAGACAGACAGAGTTACTTTCGCATTTATAATATTAGTTGGGATATGCACACAATAAACATCAATAGGGGGCCTATCTTATGACTAATTAGCTTTGTAAAAAAAAGAAACACATTAGATTTCGTCGTAAGAACCAATAGCTTTTACGAGCAATATCTACGTTACGGTGCATCCTAATAGCCCAACAAAACGCCCGCCCAAGCAACTCGCAGGCAATAAATCCGCCCAAACATTCTGCCCTGCCTTGCCGCCCGTTGTAGACGTGCTTGCCGCTTCCGTGTCCGGCGAAATTGAACTTTTTTTAATAGGTACTACAAACTACGGCGTAGCATTTTAGCACAGTATAGAATATAATGGTAGACTACAAGTATCTAAATATATAAAAGGAGAAACTGACTGACTGACTGACAGATCAACGCACAGCCTAAACGGCTAAACGTAGGCACTTGGAATTTGGAAGGGACGTAGCTTAGGTACCGTAGAGGTGCACTAAGAAAGGAATTCCCGAAATTCCCACGGGAACGGGAATTAGCGGGAAAAACAGAATTCACGCGTACGAAGTCGCGGGCGGCCGCTAGTTCTTGTATAGTTCTTGCAACTCACGAAGGCGAGTGAGCTTTACTTGTGTGTGTACATGTGCATGCACATAACGATAGTGTAACATTGTCTATCAAACTTTTGAAAAACAAACAGTGACAGCGAGTGAGCTTTACCGCCGCGGTAAAGCTCACTCGCCTTCGTGATTTGCAACAACTATAACGAAATGCTAATGTATTTATTGTAATTTGATATTACTCCATTAGGTTATTATTGTTTTATTAATATGGAATCAAACAATAGGTATTTCCCTTAATGCAAAAACTTATCAATCCCTAATTTTTAAGTGACCTCTATGAAAACAAAATTCCTGTTATCTTATGTGTTCCATAGGGGTTACTTAAAAATTAGGGATTGATAATGAAAACGGGCATTAGTCGAAGCTAATTTGTTTCCTATTGTTAATGCAATAAAGCAAAATATTGTATTCTATGCTATCCTTGAAGGGCATCTTTTACGGAAGTTGTCATACTGACTCTTTTTCCTCTGTAGTCGTAGTTACACGAGTTGCAATCGTAAAAATAGAAATTGCCAATAGCTTATTCATTTTTTTCATTTGCAATCCTATTTTCGAGCGGCAATAGATTATTTTGGAGGCCGTTGCAATGTTACAGTACGTACTGCCTCCATAATTGGTTTTTGGCTTCAATTTGAAAATTGCAGAGTTATGGTCTTTTCCGTAGTTGAAAGTTACAGGAAATTAATGTTGTAGACATTTCTTTAGGCATTTTGTATAAATAAGTTTTTTTTTGCAATCGTATCGATTACATTTAGGTAAGTTTAAGTCCTATATGATGTATCTTTTTTGAGTCGCTACTTAGTAGTACATGTTTCGCTAATTTTGGAATAGAATTATTGGTGATAATATTTTATGTACTTATTTATTTAAATCTAGCCATATGTATTAGTTGATATTCAATTTTTTCCGTGGATATCAGATTGATTGAAAAAATTATCGTTACTTTAATTCTATCAGCTGATTTTTTCAATGTTGAGTTTCAAACCCTACATTGACTAGCTTTCAGATGAGAGGAAAATTCTTTTAACCCTACTTTACAAGACTAGTGATAGGCCGGACATTCCAAGAGTCAGGATTCTCACTGATTCTCAGGAATAATTGCTTCATAACGATGTTAGACGGTAATCGAATGTGGAACGCGCTCGGTTGCCATGGCAACGCTTCTGGGACAGATCTGGGTCGCGAGCACAGAGTAAAAGCACAAATTGTGGTAAATGGATAGTAGGATCGCATCGCCTAGGTATAGTCTATTATACCTTCGTTTTTCAGCGCTTCAAACTACCCGTTTTTATTGGAAAACAGCACCAACAAGCATGGTATATGCTACAGTGTTTACCTGATGCGCTCTGTTTGTACAATCTCTTTTTACTTTTTGACAAAAAGATAAAATAGTCATCCATGGCACTTCGTATAGCTAGTTCGTTGATCACCGGGTTTCGACTACACTTCCTTTTGTGTTAGATAGCCCATATATCGAGGAAGGCTTTATAATATTACCCTACAGCCAATACGAGCGGAGGAGGAGGAGTAAAGATAAATGTTGCAAAAACGGAAATATTAGTTATTCAAACTATTTTCACCCGTGTGCCAGTGAATGTTATTACTGGACTTCAAGAACGGGGTTTTATTATATCTGTTACGGTTAATGTGATAAATTGAAAATTATTAATAATAACCGGTTATTATGAATAATTACCGACAGTCGCGGTAAAAGTGATAAATTAATCACATTTAACAGTGATTATTTAATAATTCAACCTTAGTACTAACAAATTTCATAAAAGAGAANCGGCCTGCGTCCAGCGCCTTCCTTCTACCTTAATGATGTCGTCGGTCCACCTTGTGGACGTTCCACGCTCTGTAGGATACAAACTGGGAATATCTTGTTAATACTGACCGACATCACACACCAGGCTGCCCGGCTCGAGCTCGGACAGGAAGGTCCGCACGCCCGGCGCCGGCGCACGTATCGCCTCGTCGCCATCTTCGCCCGCTTGCTCGTACACGTCATGCACGTAAGCCCGCTCGAGCGCCGCGCCGCGAGCCGCCGACTCGCCCGCGCCCGCGCCCGCTCCCGCCTCCGCGTCCGCCGCGCCCGACCCGCCATCCGCCATCACCGCACCGCCATTGCACCGCGCTGGGGGAGAAGAAATAATGATTAAATTACATGAAAGTAAGGTAATTTAATCTACACGGTACACTTTATTGCACTAATAGCGCACAAAAGGTTGGTGTATTTAATGCTAAAAGCATTCTCCGCTAGTCAACCAATAGTTTAAATTGAAAGTTACATTACTAGAACAGATGCATCTCAACTATTTTAAACAGCTAACCGAGGCAATTGTATCTTTTATAAATTGAAGTCTAGGCTAGATTATAGGTTAAATCATACAGAGGTTTTAATCGCTCTCGTATCCGCATTATGAATTCATTTTCTAATTAAATTAGATTTACTAAAATCATTAGACATGGATGGCTCGGCATAAGGTTTGCTTACGGTTTCTACGTCCATCGTCCATATCATCATCTCATCTAGGAATTGGGTACATTAATATCGATAAGAGATTTCGTAATCCAGTAATAAACATTTAAGACAATTAAAATGCTTAACATATAATTAGTTCAACAAAACGCCCATACAATTTTGAGAGAGCAACTACTTTGGTTACTGTAGAGCAATTAAAGTGTCGCTAGTTGAACCCCGCATCTCCTGCTAATTAATATAATAATGCCAAAGGTTATCTTAAAGGTTGACTTATTAGGTAACTTGCTACTAAACGTGTGTAGGTACTACTTCTCTCATTCACTACTCCTCCATACATTCTTGGTGATAATACTTTGTAGAAAACATTAGATTTCGTCTTAAGAACCAATAGGTTTTACGACCAATATCTACGTTACGGTGCATCCTAATAGCCCAACAAAACGCCCGCCCAAGCAACTCGCAGGCAATAAATCCGCCCAAACATTCTGCCCTGCCTTGCCGCCCGTCGTAGACGTGCCTGCCGCTTCCGTGTCCGGCGAAATTGAACTTTTTCAATGCTACGGCGTAGCATTGTAGCACAGTGTAGAATATAATGGTAGACTATAAGTATTCTTGCAACTCACAAAGGCGAGTGAGCTTTACTTGTGTGTGTACGTGTGCATGCACATAACGATAGTGTAACATTGTCTATCAAACTTTTGAAAAACGAACCACCGACCACCACACATGTAAAGCTCACTCGCCTTCGTAAATCGTGATTTGCAACAACTATAACGAAATGCTAAAATATTTATTGTAATTCCATATTACTATTAGTGTTGTCCATTAGGTTATTATTGTTTTGTTAATATGGGATCAAACAATAGGTATTTCCCTTAAAGCAAAGACTTATGCCTGTTTTCACCATCAATCCCTAATTTTTAAGTGACCTCTATGAAAACAAAATTTCTGTTATCTGTTACCATAGGGGTCACTTAAACATTAGGGATTGATGGTGAAAACGGGCATTAGTCCAAGCTAATTTGTTTCCTATTGTTTATGCAATAAAGCAAAATATTGTATTCTATGCTATCCTTAAAGGGCATCTTTATGGAAGTTGTCATACTGACTCTTCTTCCTCTGTGGTCGCAGTTACGCGAGTTGCAATACTTGCAATCGTAAAAATAGAAATTGCCAATAGCTTATTCATTTTTTCATTTGCAATCCTATTTTCGAGCGGCAATAGATTATTTTGGAGGCCGTTGCAATGTAACAGTACGTACTGCCTCCATAATTGCTTTGGCTTCAATTTCAGAATTGCAGAGTTAGGGTCTTTTCCGTAGTTGAAAGTTACAGGAAATTAATGTTGTAGATATTTCTTTTCTTTAGGTCCATTTTGTATAAAAATAAGATTTTTTTTGCAATCGTATCCATTACATTCACTAGTAGTACAAGTTCTGCTAATTTTGGACTAGTATTGGTAATAATATTTTATGTACATATGTACTTATTTAATTAAATTAGCTAATATTTCTTTCGTAGACTGGAAAAATGTAGGTACGTTCATTTAATTCAATCAGCTGATGTGTTCAATCTTGAGTTTCAAACCCTACATTGACTAGCTTTCAGATTAGAGGGAGATTCTTTTAACCCTAATTCAAGATGTGATAGGCCGGACATTGCAAGAGTCAGGATTCTCACTGATTCTCAGGAATAATTGCTTCATAACGATGTTAGACGGTAATCGAATGTGGAACGCGCTCGGTTGCCATGGCAACGCTTCTGGGACAGATCTGGGTCGCGAGCATAGAGTAGGTAAAAGCACAAATTGTGGTAAAAGGATAGTAGGATCGCATCGCCTAGGTACAGTTTAAACCTACGTTTTTCAGCGCTTCAAACTATCCGTTTTTATTGGAAAACAGCACCAACAAGCATGGTATATGCTACAGTGTTTACCTGACGCGCTGTGTGTAGGTAGGTACAATTTCGTTTTATTTTTTGACAAAAGATAAAAGAGTCATCATGGCACCTCGTATAGCTAGTTCGTGGATCATTGGGTTTCGACTGCACTTCCTTTTGTGTTGGATAGCCCATTTATTGAGAAAGGCTTTATAATATTACCCTACAGCCAATACGGGCGGAGGAGTAAAGATAAATGTTGCAAAAACGGAAAATATTTGTTATTCAAACTATTTTCACGCGTGTGTCAGTGAATGTTATTACTGGACTTCAAGAACGGGGTTTTATTATATCCATTAAATAAAGATTACAACAATAAACACAGGTATACAGATACAGTGGCTTCGCGGGCTGCCATCTTAATCATAGATCAAGATAGGATGACAGACCTTCATCGACTAGTCATCATGTGTCATCTAAATATTATAACTCAAAGGTGACTGACTGACATAGTGATCTATCAACGCACAATCCAAACCACTGGACGGATCAGGCTGAAATTTGGCATGCAGGTAAGAGTAGGCGCACACCGTTGATTTTTAGTTGGCCGATAGTTGTGCCCGATTTTAAATTGTATGAAGAATCGGCCTAATCGAATCGGCGTAGTGTGCGCACTCCCATACATGCCCATACTAATCAACTGCCCGACTAAACTTTCGGCCGCCGAAAAATCAACGGTGTGCGCCTACTCTAAATGTTATGACGTATCCGCTAAGAAAGAATTTTATGAAACTCCACCCCTAAGGGGGTAAAACGGGATCCACGCGTACGAAGTCGCGGGTACAGCTAAGTTGCTCTGTATCCCTTTTATATTACATTTAGCTATAGTAGGTATATCTCTAACACTGAAGCGAGGCCTGCCATCCCCAGGGACCCTAGTGCACCGATCGGCAGTAACTACGTTATTGTATCGCCGGCCAGTGATATAAACAGTTCTAATAAACTTATTAAGGTCGCCATTGTGGGGAGATTGGAACTGAATTTATTAATTAGCTAGGGGCTTTGTTAATAGGGCTTGCTCGGTGTAGCTTGTGAGATGGAAGCAGGATTTTATGATGTTACTTGTAAGTCCTATTTTGCTGATCACAAATGCAGCTAGTAACAAAATGTTTTTGGTTTTATAAAAATGCAAGTGATATTAAAAAAAGTAAAATGTACTAAAATTACTATACTACAAAATGGCAAACTATAAGTACCAACAAGGTCTAAGTATAGTATATTCCAAAAAGTTCGCAACACGTCTTTGTTACAGTTAGAATAAGCACGGGAATAAGTTTGTTTTGTCAACTTTTTGGTCACTTTAGGTGTTAGGTTGTCCATACGAACTACTTATTTGACGCTAACTGCCTACTTATTAAGCGACAGTTCAATTTTCATTAATTTAATTGTAACAAAATATCATAACGATTAGCGATGTAACGTTACGAACGAATTAAGCGATGTGATGTTAACGAAGCGATTACGAATTAAAATCTACGACTAATGTTAAGTTATGTGTGTTATAATGTTAATGTTATGTTCTTATTGATGTTACGCTCTAATAAAACTGGAATCATTATGACATTGCAAGTTGCAACTACAATCAAATCGATGAAGCTTATCATAAACTGATAAGAATATAGTTACTACAACTGCTACAATGCGTTACTATTATCTCCTCAATGTTATAACTGTGAAAATATTATGACGAGTGTAAAGATTATTTTGCGATGAATAGGGGAAACGTGGTTCTAGTCTAGTTGTCTTAACAATTAGTTTATTTGATGAAATATGTTTAGTGTTACTTTCCAGAATTCCGTCTCTTATGCCTTAGCTTAATCCAATATTTATGTAGTAAAATAAGACCTTACATACCTACTTAGTCTATGTTGTATTTAATAACATAATAATACTTCAATGTCAATTTAAATAGCGTTTAACCACAGAATAAGTAATAGTACAGGTACAGAAGGATTACTCCGCACGACGATTTAAATAAATGCGAGTCTTGCTGCGACGCGATACAGTGGAATTCAGCTCGCACAGCACTACGTACCTACAATTTTATTCACCTACAAGTTTTGTCTCTTTCTATCGCGTGCCTCTGAACTCTTCTTACGCTGTTAGGGTTGCTGTCTAGTGAAAAAATAATTAATCTACTTATTTGTAATGAGGTACGTATGTAGGTAAGTAAAAATAACATTTCAAATATACCTAATTAGGATTAAAAAAACTTGTTCTATTACAATGTCTTCATTCATACCTACCTATTTTAACATAAGACAGATAAATTAAACATACTGTTACAGAAAAATAAAGAATCCTATACTATCCTAAGAATTTTATTATTGATTACCTACATGGCCAACATACCTTTCAGCATCTTTGGGAAGCGACTACTACAGCTACTAGCTGTATAACAGTCTAAAACAAGTAAACGTAACAGCCTTTGGCTTTATAAATGACCACGTGTGTTCTATTAAAATGCTAGCTCTATAACATCGTACAAGTAGGCCGTTAAACAGCAGTTGCCGTATCTCTACCCTCCTATAATGCTATTAGTCAGACGGCTGACTAAAGGATAGTTGTTAGAGTATTATAACACCAACAATCGTATAAAAGTATAACTCTACACTAGTCTACACTCCTATAAGTCCCTTAGACAGGTATAGGTGTAATTAATTGCAATAATACAGCTTATACATCACGAGTGAACTGTACTAATGCTTTAAGTACACATTGGAACTAAATGTGAACTCTTAAATGGAGTAAAATGTTACTTGGGGTGGTTCTAGTCTAGTTGTCTTAACAATTAGTTTATTTGATGAAATATGTTTAGTGTTACTTTCCAGAATTCCGTTCAATATTTATGTAGTATAAGACCTTACATACTTACTTAGTCTATGTTGTATTTAATAACATAATAAATAATACTTCAATGTCAATTTAAATAGCGTTTAACGCCCCTTTAACTATATAGTTTAGTAAAGTTGCTGCATGCCTATGATGTTCCAACACTCTCTTCGCAAAGCACCCAGGGGTTCAAACTTTCCATAGCATTACAATCATCCACGCAAATCAAAAAAGTTATATCAAAAACAAACTCCAAACCCAACTCTAAAGCACAATATTCCATCGGTAGTGAAATTTCGTTTCAGGGATAATCCCTATTGGATGATGTGGAATTGTGGGTAGAAGTGCAACAGCTACAAAAATAACCGGCAGAGTAATCCCTCGCATTGCCAAAACTGAATTTCATCTGTTTGCTCAAACTACCCGTTTCGTAACTCCCTTTTGTTATTACAAAAATTCAGCCCGTGATTTTCTCCGTGTAGAATAACAATTCGCAATGAAATACAACGAGTCTGTTTTAAAGTAGGTTTTTGTAACCTTTCGGTTTGTTGATTAATTTATTTATTACTATCCGCTCGCGACTTAGTAGTACGTGTAGTACGCGTAGTTTCTGAGATTTCTTGATCCCTTCTTCTGATGAATCAGTAAGTGGTTTCGCTTTTTTTTATCTACGACTACTTATTATAGAAGATAGATTAGTACAAACTTAAGCGACATTAAGTAATGCAAAGAGTATCCTTCTACCACTTATTAAATTTTCACCTACTTTGCATTATTTTATTGCTATGTTTATGTAATAATGCCATCAATTATTGCTTTCGATTGATGCTTATCGATTACTGTATTATTCTTCAATGATAAGGAGCCAAATTGATTTTGTCTAATTTAAAACATTAACAGCCAATGACATACAAAGCGCGGGGCGGTACTGAATACGGTTCGGTATTCCGTTCTTCAGCATCGACATTGGGAAATAGGGATGCCACCACTCTTGAAATAAATCTTCAGAAAGTGGGTTTGTATCTTAAACCAGATTCTTAGTGAATAATAAGCTCTGCTCCTATTGGTCGTAGCGTAATGGTATACTATAGTCTTCCTCGATAAATGGGCTATGTAACACAAAATTATTTTTTCAAATCGGACCAGTATAGGGTTTCTGATTTCTCGACCTATTTTTTTTCTCGAGTTTCGAGAATTCTCGAGGCCAAAGTCTCGAGTTTTCTCGGGTCTCGAGTCTTTTAATGAAAACTGCTGAAATCGGTTGAAATTTAATAAAAACAGGGGTTTTTTAATTTAATATACCTACTTTTATGCACAACAATCGATATTAGAATTTAGTACCACTTATTTTGGTAAGGAAATAAACAAAAAATAAAATCTTTTTTTATAATTCATATTTACTAATAATCATAACAAAAGTCATAAAGTCACGTGTACTTTAAGGATAAATAACAATAAAAATCTGGTGCTGCAATGAATCACTTGTTTTCTAAAGAACACAAATCCAAATAGCAAAATTACGATAAGTAAATAAATAAATTTTCAATTTTTTTTAGAATTTTGTGTATACTACGCTTCCATGCAATCTATACATGTTGTGGCAGCTTTTAATTAAGGCTTTACTATAAACACGTATTGTTTTCAATGTTTTTTCCAGTTAATTGTGTATGTCTTGTTAGCTGTCAAATAAATAAATAAATAGTTTTTTATGAACAAAAAACACTTTTTAATAAATTTTAAAATTTCTCACAGATAACTTTACGAGGAAGCACGAGTACCTAACCTAACATCTGTTAGGTAAGGTAACTGTCTAGTTAACAAAATTTTCAGTTTTTATATCAGTCAGATTAAACATACATAATAAATAATATAGCATACTCGTTGGTGAACATTATTACTTAGTTTCGATTGAGATCATTACTTGCAAATCAAATCAGTTAAACAATGAAAGAATAGGCCAGTCTAAAAGCAACCTTGACCTATTAAATAATAAAAAACTTACTTTTGTGTAAGAAAATAGGCTTTCAAGAATATTAAAGCTTCAAAATCGAAACTCGAGAATTCTCGAGCTCCGGTAATTTTTTTCTCGTCTCGAATGAAGCCAAATTTCTCGAGTTCGAGAAAGCTCGAGCAGAAATCCTAGACCAGTACTTACTTAGTTACTGAAATTAGCGCGTTTTTTGAAATCATCAAGTTATATTTATAGCAAGAGTACCTTGATTACAGGAACTCGAGTGTTTAACCATTTGCCTAACTGTATAAAAGCACTAGAAAACCCGCAATTCAAACAGAAATTGAAAGAATGGTTGTTGCAGAAATGTTTTTATAACCTAGATGAATATTTTTATAAGTTTTGACATAATATTATTTATTGACATTCGTTTTTTATTATTATTTTAGGTAAATTAGGTATCTAATAACATATTGTACATCCGAAATGGATAACTGTTGAAGCCACTAAATTATTGTTACCACTAGGGTTTCTGATTTCTCGACTTATTTTTTTTCTCGAGTTTCGGGAATTCTCGAGGCCAAAGTCTCGAGTTTTCTNAATAAATAGCTTTGCTTTGTGAAAGAATATGGGCTGTGTTTTTAGATCGATTTAGCTTAGGCGCAGACCTCCGACTTTTTGTCGGACGATAGTTGGTGGGCCCGATTCTAATTTGTATGAAGAAACGGCCGCTACAAAATCGGTGTAATGTGCGAACTCACATACATCTCCAATACTGATTAACAGCCCGAGCCAACTATCAGCCAACTAAACGTCGGTGGTCTGCGGCTAGGCTTAGTCGAGCAATTTTTCCCCGCACATACATTTTTTTTTAACAAATAATACCGAATTACAATGATATCGTGCTGTCTTGAATCCTGACAGTGGAAATGTCTGTTTCTGGTGTTCTAAAAATCTCAACGAAAAACAAGGGAAGTCAAAAAGACAACAGTTAAATTAGATGTACTTATTAAAGTTTATCATGCCGTTATCTTACATTTTCTTGGTATATTTCAAATTAGGTATTGTAATAGGTCGATATTCAAAGCAGTAGACAATATAAAATGGATTTTCCACTGACTGTCTTCATTAGGCAAAACGGTCCGCGCGGCCGTCAGGGCATTAAAATATTAACGATGGGACTGAAATGCAGTTACTTATTACACCCTTTTGCTCGTACATCACCAATGACATATCGATCTTATGAATTATATTTGAAAGCGGACATATTTTTTCATTGTTTCTTTGTTCACAATGTTCTATTTGTATACCAGGTCCTATTTTGACCCCAAATCTCTCAGGACTTCAAAGTTACGTTCAAGGAACTTTAGCATGTTTTCTAAAGCCCAACTTCACGTTCTTTTCTCCTAAATGCTAATTTCTCCAAAGCACAAAATGTATGGTATTTGGCACCGATCCCTCACGATCGTGTGTAACGATAGGTTATGCAAAAATGCAAGGATACGGTGCACGGTTACTGGCCCGGTGACCCAGATCCGGCCGGGGATGCCCATCGCAGCCTTTATCAAAGCCGGGTAGAGGACGCGGGACCCTTGATGGTATATTAATGATAAATTGCTGGCCTATAATGTTATTGGAAAGTATATTTTACAGAATCATTTAAGGTTAGTTTGGCCATAGATAAATGGTTTAACCAGACGCGTAACTTCATTTTTGGTCTGGTTATATTAACGCTGATGCCGAATTTAATGCGATAGCCCATAAATTTAAGATCTTTTTACAGTTATGATTAGCAGCTTAGTTTGGCTATATGATAGAGATAGAGGTTTAACAAGACCATGTATCTTCATTTTACTTCTAGCTAATTTTAAAGTTAATAAACCTCTTATTTTGATACGATTCTCTTCTCGTCTTCATCTTTAACATAAATTTTATGCTACGGAAGATGCTGATGTTGATGAGTTAGTTAGCTTACCCGTACGAGTTTAAAGTAAGTAGGTTATTCACTGTTCTACCACAGAATAATAATAAGTACTACGTACAGAAGTTTTACTTCGCGAAGGTATTTAAAAAAATGTATGCTCAATGTCATTAACAGTATGGTGTAATTTAGCCTGTCTCAAGAGTCAAGCACCATTTTGTTGACAAACGTCAGTGATCGGCACTGCGCCGAAGCTATAGGGCTGACTTCGGTAAAATTATGTGACGTGAGGTGCCAAACTGCGGAAAATGGCGGAGGTAATACATGATTTAGCATGAATTATCATGAATAATNTAATATTTAACCAAGGTAGATAAAGTTAAAAACGGGATTATTTCCAAAAAAACAAAAATTGTCGACAATTACGGCAAGAATTTACCAAGTGTTATACCATTTTGGAATCCTTAATAAATGCTCCAAATTATGACTTCACTTGCCATACTCCCGTAGTACAATTTTATTTCAGTACAGTCAGTTTAAACTAGGCAAAATTTTCACCCGCGTGAAATTTAGTATGTTACAGATCGTCATAAATTATAGCCTATATGTTAATCTGGGTTATAAACAGTAATACTGTAAAGTTTCAACAAAATCCGTTCAGTAGTTTTTGCGTGAAAGAGTAACAAACGTCCAAACATCCAGACATCATGACATCCAAACTTTCGCATTTATAATATTAGTAGGATTTAAACGGCCTTGTTGATATGCAGTTTATGTTAGTGTCCGTGACTTCCACTCGGAATGGGGCCCACTGAAAACCAGCGTCGTGGCCTTCCCCACCGTGGGCCACGGCATATGCTGAGTGGAATCCCATTGCGATGGGCATCGCTGTTGCGACANTAAATAAATAGATTCAAAGAAAGCCGCGAGCGCTCGCGACGTCACCAAACGTAGGGCACGTGCGATCGGATCAATCCATTCATTTGGATACATAAAAACACCTAAAACGTAAAAATATTTAGTATATTATGGAAGAATCGCTAAAATCAAATGGCAGTGGGCGGGGCACATAGCTCGTAGAGCTGGTGGCCGCTGGGGCAGAAAAGTTCTCGAGTGGCAACTACGACCCGGAAGATGTAGTGTGGGCAGGCCTCCACTAGGTGGACCGACGATCTGGTGAAGGTCACGGGAGGTGTCTGGATGCGGGCGGTGCACGACCGGTCTTTGTGGAAAACCTTGGGGATACCTTGTCCAGCAGTGGACGTCTTTCGGCTGAAAAGAACGAAATATTATGGCAAACACTGAGACTATGAATCGGGATCAGAAAATTAGGTATTTTTAACTGAGAAAAGTTACACGTTTCATGCTTATGGACTGTTAGATTTAGGTATTCGAGAAGCGAAATGAACGCAGCTTGTAAGACCTAGGTACTACGTAGTTTATAGGATTAGAAATATTTAGAAAGGAGAATCTTTTAAATGTGTCAGCATAAAAGTTTTCTAACTGTCCCTGAGCGATATTTAAAAGATTCTAATAACTTTCAAAAGTGACTTTAATCGAAAGCAATTATCGAAAATTAAATTGTCGAAAACGCATTTCGACAATTCCCGCAGCCCTCGGTCGTGTTACGTGGTTCATTAACATCACAACGCTTGATTCGAGTATTGTTTCCAGTTTCCAGCGGCGCAGTACTTTATCATGTAAAATTGTAACTTGATTCTGAGAGACAATGAGGTGCATCAGCGGGAAATCGCATTGCTTTTACATTTCCAGCGAAACGTATCGGAACTTGATTACCCGCGGTTTTGCCGCTGTGTGAGTCCTACCCTACAAAACAATGTCGAATGCCTACAGCTGTTTCACTCTCTCTTGCTAAGAGCAAAGTGCGTTGAGCGAGATGGGTACAGTCGATACATTTTGAGGGTAGGATCTCATGTTATTGAGTTGTCGGGCCATCACGAGGCATGAAATTTTAAATTAGAAAGGTAACATTTTTCTTCAAAGAATAAATATTTTTAATTTATGTTTGCTATTCGTAGTTTCTACGTTTCAGGATTTTTTCTTCTAGGTATATATGTATTTCTTCATGACATCT